AGATCCTGCGGTTTTCTTGATAGCTTCCACCCACCCACCCACAGCAATGGCAAGAAGAAGCCAGAACCAAAACTCTCAGGCACAAACAAATCATCCAAATCCCAGGCACAAGGGAATGTTGCTTATTTATTGTGCATGCAGGGGGATGCCTGGACCTGGGTCTGCTCCTTGGTGATTTTGCCATTGGGGTAAAGAGGCAGCCAGACCATGGCTATCCCTGCTATAACCAGAGAACTGGTTTCCTTGCCAGAATGGTATGTAAACCAAGGCAAATTCATATTCTGTGTCACCTTGTCAATCTTTTCTCAGCAAGGCTAGAAAAAGCTGAACCTGTTTTTAAACAACATTGGGAAACGATAGGTAGCTGCCAAAGCCAACACACCTAGAAGACACATCTACGTGGTAATACCGGGAAGTTCAATCCATTCACCTGGGGGTTCTCAAGTCTGTTAGGGTGAACAATGTGCCTTCCCCTTCATCCTCCTGACCAGGACAGTAGGTTTGATATGCATCCTATGGGCCAAAACAACAGGTTTGGTTTAAGATTCTGCACTAGTAAAGGTGATCACACACGGGGCTGCTTGCCTACTCTCTCCATGCAGCACTGGTCACAACATTTGTGGACCTTGGTACTCCCTTTTCCTGTTTCTTGACCTTCCTTTTTGCAATCCTTGTACTTCCTTTGTCTGTCCCAGTCTCCTCCCAAGCAACAAGTGGCTGCTCACTATTTTTTACCCGTTGGTATCGTGGGGGTTTTTTTAACATCTGTGTCCAGTTTGGTATTTCTGATGCTGTTACCTAGGTAATCTTGGCATTATGTGCTGTTACTGACACAGTTACTGAGGAACTGCTGGTCTTGCCCCAGAAGGACCCCGGTGCTTCTCTCCAGATATCTCTGAAGTCTGGCCTTTCCTCACATCACTGCTCTATAACCACTTGGGAGATCCAGCTGTCCCTTGTGGCATTACCTGCAACTTTTGTCAGCTTTTCACACCATTACCTGCCATATGCAGCCATTCACATACCATGTCGTGCAGTTGTCCACGTTGTGTTCAGAGACCTTAACCTCAAGCCAGTGCCCAGTCAATGGCTAGTAATCTCTGCCTGTAGCTCCAGGAAATTAAAAGTCTCATGTAATTACAGGACTGAGTAAAACCAAGAACATGGTATGAGCTGTAAAAACTGCGCAATTTGGAGGTTTGAGGGAATTTTGGAAAATTGCCACAAACATTTCAAGGACAGCTCAGGAAGTTGTTCATGCTGCCATCAAAACCCAAAGCCAATGCCTTCTGTTCCTTGCCAGTCACTCCACACCTGACGTCTCCTGCCTATCCAATGTGGATTCTCCCAAAGGAAATGTTTCTTATCCCCCCTCTCACAAAATGACAAGGAGAATGGGGTGGCTCCAGTGAAACAACTTGGGGCAACAACTTGCCAGTCAGTGTCCTGGCAGAGTCCTCACTCACGTTGCTCCTTAACAGCATTTTTTTTTCCTTCTTCTTGCTCCAGTCTCTTTTCAATATTGTGTCATGTTTGATTCAGCTTTGCCCAAGTTCCTTTATCTTCTCCAGAGCAACGCTTGGGAAAACAGCATCACTTCTGCTTTTCAAATACAAACCAAGACTGGGAGGACCAACAGGCTTGAAATGTAGGATGAGACTCCTTGCTTTTCTGCCAAGATGGGATTGGGACCTGCCAATCTGTTTCTGCTACCAACGACCAGAGGAACCCACCAATCAGAATGAAACGTCGACTAAACGAGATTTCCTGGAAGCCACCAGAACAAAGCTAGTTTATATCAGCTGCAGATCTGGGCAGCTCTATTGTATTTTTCTGCAGGCCCTTGCTGTCAGGAAGGCAGTCTTACAACTTCTGTGACCAGAAGAGTTTGCCCCTTCATTTGCACTGGGGATTGAGATCGAATGTCCTGCAAATGTGCTGGGAGCAGGGTGGTTTGGGAACACTCCTCCTTGGCCATCCTCTCTAAAGTTAGGGAGGGCCTTTGAGGTAGCACAGAAAAGCAGAAAAGCTCCCCCAGCCAGTGGGAGATGCAATTAGCCTCATTAATCACTGGCATGATGAAAGCAGCTGCTCTGTAATTGGCTTTGCCTCAGGTCATAGACAGCTTAGCTGAGAGAAATCATTTTTTTTAAATTATCTGCCTACTGTGCATTGCCTGATCCCAAGGAGCATAGGCAGAGCAGGGTGGGCTGCACAACCCAGATGTCTTGTGAGGGTGGTGGGGAGAGCCACAAGACACTGCCTGCTTGCTTGGTCCTCTCCAGGCATCACTAGCACCTGTGTCCATCTCTGCCAGTATTCCTGGCATTTCAGGAGTGCGTCTGAAAGCACTGCTGGCTGCCTGCCACGGGCAGGAAACGTAGGGCTTGGCTGGCTGAAGCCTGTACGGTGCAGACGGAGCTCGAGGGTGAGGACTGAGGGCTGCATACACAGTTCTCTGGGTAAGCCTGGTCTCAGGCCTGAACCAGCTCCTAGCCCTAAAAAAGGGGAAAATTCAAGTCAGCATTCATAGTCATCCATTATCCTGAGTGAAACTCATCCACAGCTCAGCTGCCCATGACCTCCAACTCCTGAAGAGGGGGCTTTGTGGTTGGCAAGGGGCCTCTCCAAAGCCAGGATCACTGGCCGTCTCAGTCTCTTTGTACCTGTTAAATATTACTGGCCTCTGACAGTATCCCTGGACTTGTTTGGGAACAAGTCAAGTACAAGTTGCCTTTGTACAAGGCCCTGCACAATGGGTTCTGCGTTGGGGTGAAGGCTCCTGTGTACTAAACAAAGCAGCACAGATAAATCAGTAACAAACTGCAGATCAGCAGTGGTACCAAAGGCAATGGTGCGTAGTTTAGGAGACAGTGCATGATTCAGGAAAGCTAGCAGAGCCAGATGCACATTGATTCACAGTCACATGAATTCTTTACTGCAATTAGAGAAAAACAGGCATCTATTAAGTCCCATTGTGAATAGATTATCCAGAATGAAGGCACTCGGAAGAGTTCAGAGGGGCCAGCAAGGCAACCTCTGCTCCTGTCTGGTGCGGCTATAACCCTCTCTTCCCAGTGATCAAGCACACTGAGACTAGCTTGCTCTTCAGGACTACATTCTCATGCACACTCCACACACTAGTACCACACAGACTGGGAAGCCAGCAGGGTTTGCAGCACAGGATGTGATGGCACAGCCAGAGCTGCTGAGTTTGAGGCTGTTGTGCTGTTACATGCTTTGAAGCGTCATGAGACGTAATCTGCAAAAGCAGGCTCTGCTTCATCTGTGTCCATCTCCCCTAGACAGATCCATATGATGCGTTCCCATCCCCAAGACGCACATCTAGTAGCCATTGCTCAGACGTAACTCCAGCTCCTTGGGACCATCGTTAGTCACAGACCTTGTCCGTAACACCTTCCAAGCACTATTACTTGCAACAAAGTTGACAGGCATTGTACTGTTTCTCTGTGCCTTATTATGCAGGGCTGTTCTACATCTGCTCCCTACTATCTACCTTCTAAAGGAAGGCACTGGGCTGAGAGAGGTTCCTGGCACTCTGCATGACTCTCCTTCATGACAGCTACTCTTAACCAGAACTCCTGTTCCATGCACTCCTGCACAAAGGCTCCCTGACCCACGGGGCAACCAGAGCAGGCAGCTTCTAGGCTGCTCTGCTGTAGTCCTAACCCCAGAGTGAAGAGCTGCCTTCCAGCCCTGGAGGAGCAGCGGCTCAGGTGGCACAGCTCCCCAGCACAGACCCATCTCTGCCCTCTTCGCCATGAGAAACAGCACACTACTGTCTGCAACCCGGCAGGAGCAAAAGAGGCACACGCTGCTGTTGCTAGGACCAGATGATAGCCTATGTCCATAGATTTCATGTGGTTTGTTCAAACTTTTATGGTTTTAATATTTTGTACCTTCTATGAAAACTGGTTTGCTGCTAGGTGACTGTGCAAATGAGATTTGATAAATGATCCTATATTAACATTATGGTTGAAACAATAGACAAAGGGTAACCAGGGAGATAACTACAAAGTCTAGTCAAGTGATTAACTAGTAATTATTCATAAGTTTTGCAGTTCTTTGCTCTTATGACTAGATGTTCCTGTACGCTAGATGAGAACAATGTTGAAACTGACCACATGTGATTGAAGCTGTGTTAAGCTTCAAGATCAAAGAACAAGGACAAGAATAAAGACTTCAAGGACAGCCAGCAAGAACTTCAATGGGTCGGTGGTCACAAAAGCAGCCCTTCCACTCAAATGGATCCTTTATTGTGCATGATCGGATGTAGGCAGTACTATGACAATCAGTTGCAATCATTTTTATGTATATGTATACTGATCTGATTAATATGCAATTAGTTATTCTATGTAACCTGTTTGTGCTAAAGCTGCGGTATGCACGCTAGATGGAATTATCCCCCGTGCACCCAGCACTGCAATAAAGAATGCCTGCTTTCTAAAACTCCAAAACGAGTCTTAGAGAGTTTCTTCGACCGGCTTTTCGGTATCACAGAGAAACTCTGTCTGCGGGGACCCCGCCCTGAGCTCCCCACCCCCGGTCAGACCCGGTCAGCGGGGCACAAGCCGGTGCAACCACGGCCAGCAACCCTCGGAAAAGGCAGGCTGCAAACCCCAGGCCCCCTTGCCACAGCTCTGCCCTCCAGGAGGAGGGAAGGCGGCTCGGGGTAAGCCGCAGTCCAAATCGCGGGCCACGTTTCTGAGAGCCTGCCTCGCCCCACCGGCGCCGCAGGCCCCACCGGCGCCGCAGGCCCCACCGCAGCGAACCTCCCTGCGCCTGCAAGGCCGATGGAGCGCTCCCAATTTCCATCCCACCCAACTCATTCCAGACCGGCACCGGGGCGGACCCCGCCTCCCCACTGCAGGCCGCGGTTCCGCCGCCCCTCCTTGCTCATGCGCGGCCGCCGTAGACCCCGCCCGCCTTCCCCCGTCACGTGACGCGGCCTCCCCTCCCGCCGCCACGTGTGTCCCTCCTCGGCAGCCGTAGCAGCTCCGGTGCGGCCTTTCCGCGGGCGGCCGGCGGCATGTTCCGCATCGAGGGCCTGGGGCCCAAGATGGACCCAGAGGAACTGAAGCGGAAGATGCGCCGCGACGTCCTCACCTCTGTCCGCAACTTCCTCATCTACGTCGCGCTGCTGCGGATCAGTAAGTGTTCGGAGCGAAGCGGGCCGTCCGGTGCTGGCCCGGGGCCTGCGCCCGCCCACCGGGAAGGCCCGGCCGGGGGTCGCCGGTTGGCGTTTCTTAGGGATGTCTTTGCTTCAGTCACGGCAGCCTGGTGACTGTCCGTGGGGCTGTGGGGGAGAGTCTCCTCTGATCGGCGCTGGGCTTCGTGTCCCCCGGTGGCCGAACGCGGTCCCCGGGGGGAGCGGGTGAGGTTCGGCATCCCAGCGGGGCTTCCAGAGCGCCGGGGGGGGGCCTGAGGCGGCTGAAGTGCTGGCTTTGGGCGAGCAACGGTGTTCCCGGAATCCGGAATAAAACTCCTCAACAGCAATGAGAACTTAAGAAGCAGGCAGTTCGTTTATTGCAGCGCTGGGGACACGGGGGTCGCTCCTCCAAAAGCGTGTCCAACTTAGTATCAAAATCCATCAGTTTTTATAGACTTTTTCTGTCAGGTCATTGTTACATAAGCTCTTTACACAAAAATGCATACTATGCTCGCTCTTAAACTTAACTTTTATAAGGATTGGTCCTTTGATTATATAACCTTATCAGTAGTCTTATTTAAAAAACAATCATTGGTCAGTTACACTTAGCTCTACTGACTGGGATCTTCGATACTCAAATTAAGATGGGAAGGGTAAGGGGGCTTCCAAGCAGCAAACTGGTGTCCATGACGGTTTCCTTAGTTTCTTGAAACAAAACATAGAAAAACCAGTAACTTCCTGGAGAGGTTTCTATGGTTAGCTATTTCAAACTTTAACAATGTTAAGGTTCCTATAGTCACACATAACACAGTTCCTAAAGTTTCTATGGCTACATTTCAAACTTAACAATCCTATACATTATGCTATCTTACTTCTTAATCAAACCTAACTCTTCTATGTGATTAAATTCTGATTTCTTTACCAGAATATTTTCAACAACAGTGCTTCTGTACTTTTCTAGCGCATGAAAGAAAAAGGGCCGTGCTGTCTGTCTCATAGGCAGTGCTTTAGTGCGTTGCATCAGAGGCTTGCATCTTTCCTTTCAGGATGCCCTTCTGTTTAGCCAACAAAAAGTGACGTTTGGGTGATTCTTCCCCACCACCACCACCACCCGGTGGTATCGAGAACACGCCCAAGCCTCTGACCTGCAGCACAAGCAGGCGTACCTGATTCCCCCCTTGAATCGTGCTGTCTCACCTGTTAAAGCAATCATGCAGGGAGAGAAGGGACCGTGTGGGAGGCGGACGGTGGTATCTCACCCAGAGTCTGAATGTTTTAGATGCCACATAAATGTGCTGCAGTTTCATCACAGACTCACTGCAGACTTCTTGTTGTCTTCAGTCACATTCATGCTGCTTCATTTTCTTTTCAGCTCCTTTCATCCTGAAGAAGTTGGACAGTATATGAACACTCAAGAAGGCTCATTATATGAAAACATAAAATGGACTGTAGCTGCTTTCTTCTGTTTGTTAAGTAAACGTTGTGCCAGAGGCAGACATCCAATACTAAATGGTTCTAAAATGTTTCACTTAAGCGTATCTGACCTGAGAATGATAGCCTAGTTGTGATTATGGGGAAGATGTCTGTTGTTCCTGCGGGTGAATTCTGGTCACAGAATACTCCCTAGTATCATCAAGCAATGACTTGTGGTGGAATATTTCTTGTACTGTTTAAAAAAAAGTCTATCTCCATTTTGTATGAAGTGTTAAGTGCTAGCAAGTTGCTTTGTTATGCAGCTACCTCTAAACCGCCACGCGCTATGGCTGTCAACCTTACTGAACCTGTCTGTATGAAAAATGAAATCTTTAAGGAATCCAGTTCACAAGCAGTTTGATTTCAAATAAATGGAAGAGCAGTTGTGTCAATTCTGGTAGTGATTTTTTAATAATCATCGCTTAAACTAGAGGTCATCTGGTATTTTCCTGGCTCTTGTCTTACGCTTGCTCTCTCCTCCACCTTTAAAGTCATCTTATATTGAGGAAAAGCAAAGGAGAGTGAAAAAGACAAGGCAATGATGTGTTTTTCAGATTGCTAAATGTATAGCAAGTCAGCTGAGAAACATGAACATGTAGTCAAGACTCAGAGAAGTGAAGGGGGGAAGGGCAGCTCAGCTTTATCCAGCAGGCCTGTGCCACTTTCCCCTTCAACTGGAACCTCCTGGATCTTGAATTTACGCAAAGTAAAGCAGGAACAATGCCGTATTTCTTCTCTGAGCTAGTAACTGAATTTTGGTCACAGCACAGCTCTTTCTACTGTGACAAATTGCTGTATTCTAGTAGTTCAGGAGTGTTACTTTACTTGGAGGCCGCCCACAATATTCTTACCTTGCACTGCTTACACTGATGTCAAAATAGAAGTATTTTCTTAGAGAAGCAGCCTGCTTTGTGAAAAGGATTGTGACTGTCCTCTCTGAAGGGGATTTCTTAAGCTCTGGGGCTGATGCTTACTAGTATGCATCGGTTTCAGATGACCCTGAACTGAGTTGTAAAAGCAGGAGTTGGATTTTCAGCCATTACGGGTTACTCATCTGTTTGCCTAAGTCTTAAAAGATAGATTCAGGATTTGACTTGATATCCTTAGATGAGCTGCACACCAGATCTCCAGAGACTTAAATATTTGTTTCTCAGACTTGTGTTTAACTCCTTGAAGTAATTTTCACCTGGTGTTACAGGAGTGCCTGCAGAGCCACTTGCAGCAAAGGCACTGCTTGCTCTTTTCAATTGCTCGCTTGCTCAGCTGAATGAACGATCTGTTCCTCCAGTTTACTGTGCCCTTGGCTGAAAGCACAGTACCTGTATAAAGCACGGTAGAATATTTGTTGTGCTTGCCCAAATCTTGTGATCGCAAAGTCTTCTATGAAAAGCAAGGGGGAAGAGATTGTTAGGTCAGTTCAGACAGAAGGGTCAGACTTTATTGTTGGCTGGCATCAGCAAAGAGAGGAATTACAAACAATGGAGAGACTACTCTTGGAAATTTCCACCCTTCCATTTTGGCCAGAGCTTAAGCTTGCCTGCAGAAAGCTGTGCTTGAAGCATATGTAGGTTTGAAGCTGGAAGAGGGACAGAGAGAGGAGTGGGGACAAACACTGAGACCTATATATTGCCTCTTAGCTTTAGGCCTGATTTATTGTAAAAAGGCCTCCCAAGTACACATCCCCAAGACAGGCAGGATTTGAAAGTGCAGTTCAGGAATGGCAGGCTTGGAAACTGGGTATTAATTTGGAAGCATAACTGAGTAATTTGGAGACTTCTTACCAGAGCTGACACATGACCCTGGAGCCTTGGATGCCCACTGCAGTCAAATGAAATAACCCAGTCCTATTTAGTTATCTGGATTTTACTGGCAAATGAAAGCAAGGATATTCCTGAACTCATTTACTCTGCTGTCTTTGTAAAATGGAACAAGTGCAATTGAATGAATCGTGGGATTATACTACCCAGTTGACAAATTAATGCAGCGGGTTACTGCAGTGAAGTTATAATGTTGATGGTGGGAGTGATGAGATACATTAAAGAGTTTGGCTCTGCCTGTGCCAGCCAGAATCCTCAGCCAACCTATCCTCTGCCCAGCTATGGAGAATGGGACACTGGTATCCCTTTTGGTCTTCGGCCTTTGTGCAGGGTCAGAGGTAGAGCGGTAGAATCCTCAGGAAGTATAGGGATGTGAAGGTTTCTAGCAAGCCAATTTCACTTTACTGTATCCTTAAAATCACATATATGGCACCCATTTCCGTCCACTTGTAAACACATTTTAAGGTGCAACGCAACTGACCTCTCGGCAGTTTTGCATACCTCTAATCCTGAAGAAATGTACTTGCTCAAGAGTGGGTTCGAACTGGCTGTTGGGCACTGTTAAAGACTCTTCTAGGAAGTTGCTTTCAGGCACATTGAGAGATGAAGCCATCTCCTTATTAAAATAGGAGAAAATAAATGGCTGGGTTTTTTCTTGTGACTGTGGTTTTCTGCAGCCTCTGATAGGCCAGGTAATTGCATATTTCTCCTCCAAGGAGAACTAGAGGAGAATAAACAAGAAATATGTGACCAACTGGATCTTAACTCTATCCTAGATAGTGAACCAGGATTTACAAATTGGCAAAATTGACTGATAGACCCTTGTATTTGACAAAGGAGTTAGAGATGAGTAGAGAAGTTTTTTACCCCAAAAACGAGGAAGCAACATTGAGACCTCTGATTAAGACCGAGACTACTGGTAATGGTCAGACGGGAGGAGCCCTGCAAGTTACCATCGAATGGTACCATATTCGGCAACTGAACAATCAAAACTCCAGGAAAAATAGAGTAGTCTAGCTCAAGAAACCAAGACTGAATATGTATGGAGGGTATCACTGACTGGTGGAGACCAGGTTTTATTGTCAGATGATGAGGCACAAGGGTACTGGGGGCCTGCGGTAATTTTGACCACCAACAGTCTGAGAGAACCTTGGGCCTTAACCCAACGAGTTCCATATTGGGCAGGGGGGTCGGATCCCATGGAACGAGGGGACCTAGTGTGTACTGAGACCCCAGCTATAAACCACTTAATCGAAAGTCTGCAAAAGACTGCATCCAGTTGATGCATGATAGGCGTTTAGTACCTCAGCAACCCTCACTGAAGCTATTAAATGGCAACCCCGACGGGATGACTCCCTTGATCTGGGGCTTGCCTGACTCTTTAAAACCATATGCCATCCAACTCCAGGACCGTTTGTGGGATGCATTAGCCTCAAGGGGAGGAAGATTGAACTAGCGGGGGTGGCTATGACCTGGGGGGAAGTGGCACAAGAGTTGGCAGAAGAGTTGATTAACTATGGCAGAAGGATGGGCCTCACAGAGGGAACAGTTAAATCTAAACCCGCTGTGCATAGAATAGAACAACGGGAGGACCGCCCCCCGCCATGAAATCTAGGGGCAAAAAGAAATCTGTTGTGGGCTGAAGGATTTGAGAAGGGCGTTCCCCGGGGCGTAATGGATGGCCTACCCACCTCAGCCCTAGAGAAGCTTATTCAAGCATGGAAAAACCAGAGGATATTACTCCTCAGGATGGAGCAACCCTCCCAACGGAAAGGTGAGGTGGAATCGAAATCTAACGAGATGGCGATAACTGTCCCTCAAGCAGCTACTGCCCCTGAAAAGGACTTGATTGATCTTGGGTGGGGAAACTGGATGCGCTGTCCCCAATAAGTGAGCCGGGGGATGGCCAGTGGGTCCACCTAAGAAGGCTTACGGAAAATAGTAAGGGAGACTTGTTAATTACCTTTCCCCTTGGCCCTTTTAAAACCCCAGTTACATTTTTAGTGGACACTGGCACTCAAGTCTCAGCACTCCGAGCAGATGTTGCCGATCATAATGGCATAATCGCTGATAAAAACCAGATTCGGGTTACAGATGTTTTTGGAAACGCTAAGCCACAGCCAATGGCTTGGGTTAAATGCTGGTTAGCTGTAACAGTAAAGGCTATCATGATTTTGGGAACCTTCCCCACAAATATCTTGGGACTCCATCTATTAAAGGGACGAGCCTGGGTGGATTTGAAAGGAAGGGAATGGAAATTTGGGCTTCCTGCTGCCTCTATGAGACTTTTATAGCAAGCACCTGCACTTCCCCCCTCCAAAGTTGTTCGTGTAAAACCCTACGCCATGCCCCTGGGAGCAAGGGAAGGGATCACCTCAGTGATAGCTGAACTATGAGAGCAAGGGATAATTGTCCCCACACAGTCACGTTATAATTCCCCAGTGTGGCCAGTCCAGAAACCCAATGGGAAGTGGCAATTGACAATTGACTACCGGCATCTAAATACCAACACGGGCCCTTTGACAGCTGCAGTGCCTAACATAGCTGAATTGATTGTGACCATACAGGAGCAAGTCCACCAAATTTTGGCTACTGTTGACATGAAAGATATGTTTTTTATGGTCCCCTTGCAGGAAGCAAACAGAGATAATTTCGCCTTTACAAGGAAAAGCGTGCAGTTCACTTTTACATGTCTCCCCCAGGGATATTGCCACTCCCCAACCATTGCTCACTACACGCTGGCACAAGAACCGGCCCAAATTACTCACAGAGAGGGCGTGAAAAGATATCAATATATCGAAGATGTACTGGTTGGTGGCCCTGCCACCACCATGGTGGGACAGATGCAGAGATAATCACCCACATAGAAAATTTAGGGCTCCAAATTCCAGCCAAAAAAGTATAACTAACTCCCATCTTCCGAGGTGAAGTTCCTGGGTATCTAGTGGAGGGGAGGAATGGTGTGCATTCCCCCTGAAACTGTAACTACCCTCAAACAGGTAAAAATGCCTGAAAATAAGAAGGAACTGCAACATGCCCTAGGCTTGCTAGTATTTTGGAGGAAACACATTCCCAATTTTTCTATCATAGCCTGCCCCCTCTATGATTTGACACACAAAAGGGCTACTTGGGACTGGACTCCCATCCACAAAGAAGCCTTAAAATTGTTAATTTTTGAGGCTGGGGTAGATCAGGCCTTAGGGCCAATACACTCAACAGATCCATTCCATATTGAGTGGGGTTTTGCAATTCACGGACTATCCATACATACGTGGCAACATGGACTGGAGGGTCAGACCTACCCCATAGGGTTTTTATTCGTGCAGTTTCAAAGATGCAGAAAAATGTTACTCAGTTTGGGAGAAGGGTCTCTTTGTGGTTAGCCTAGCTCTACAGAAAGCTCAAAGAATCATGCAGCAACAATCAATCATTCTATGAGGACCTTTTAAGGTCTTGAAACCGGTACTGGCTGGAACAGCCCACCTGTGGGAGTTGCGCAGCGAAAAACAATGAGAAAGTGGTACGCACAATTCGATCGCTATTGCCATACACGAC